ATACTATTTCGAATATCATCCAGTGCACGATGAAGATTTCCACCTTTAATTGGTGCATTATGATAAATTTGAGAATTAAATCGACGAATTAATTCTTTTAATGTACTACAATCAAGAATTGATCGATCAAGTAGAGAATTTAAACGTGGCATATCTTTTTCAATAAAATAACGATCAACATAAACAGAATTACCGGCAAGAATTAAACGTTTTTTATTTTTTGTTATTGTTGATACGGTTTGTTCAATAAAATTTATTATTTCAGTTTCAGCATCGATCATAGTTAATTTACTATTTAAAACTTGTTGAACAAGACCTGATTTTGTATGATGTTCCATACACCAAGGTCCCATTGCATCCATTAATGATTTTGGATGATGAATAACAAGATCAGGACCTAAATCAATAGAAAATATTAATACACAAAAAAACAAAAATTACCTTCATGAATATTCGTTAAATTAAAATCCGTAACAATACATGCAATTTCTAGAATAAAATTTTTATTTAAATCTAACCCATCCATTTCTAAATCGATCCATATTAATACATCTTCATCAGTTGCCATTTCAATGAAATAAACTCTTATGTTTGTCTACACTAAGAGTGAATAATGTGAGATGTATTATTCGACTAATACAATTCATGCAGTCAACCTCTTTGAAGTTGTATTACAACAAAAATATTTGTTTATTTCGAATCAGAATACTGCGTATTATTCAACGTGGTTTTATTTATGAAAGAAGAGAGCAGCGACATATTATTAAACATACATAAAATGGTCAACATCATATGATAAACCTACTTCTATCTTAATCAAAGTTTTAGTTCACTATGATTGCAGAATTAAAACTTATGGCAAAATAATAAATTTCTATCACATTTCCAATGACATAATTGTAACTAACTGACTAGTATACCTTTTCATAATGTACTCAGTGATAATCTTTAAAGAATTATCCTTTGAATATGCACTTACCTATATTTAATGACCTTGAAATTCTTTCAACATCATTACTATGAACATTATTCAGATTCAATGATCTGTTTATTTTATTTAGTTCATTCGAATTAAATTTCCTTTTCAACATCTTCAGTTTCATTCACATAACTATAAACACGTATTTCAATTTAATCGATATAATATCTATAAAAGGCATAATTGTTCAATCTTGAAAGAAAATCGAATACAAGTGTTTGTCTTTTTATTAATCATAAAGATTTTTCTATTGATTTTAAAATATAATAAAAGCGTAGCAAAAATTACATAGAAATCTATTTCTACTTGAATATGTCATATTATTCTTTCAATCGGTATTATACGTTCACCTTTGTTATTCTTTATCACTTCACGTTGAGGTATAACTGGTATTGTATAATGTGTTGGAACAGGTTTTACACCTGTATCTAACATAGGTCGTGTACAGGCTTCAATAATAAATAGAATACCAGTTAAAATAGCAAAGACCTAAGTAGAAAAAAAAATAATTGTAAAATCTTTTTTTTGTTCTTGTTGTTCATTCCATAAACTTACAGCTGCTGCTGCTGCTGCACCTGGTCGTGGATGAGTTGTCTCACCATAAATTTGTTGATATCCATTTTCTAAATATCCTCGTCGAATAATAGCAGGCGTACGTCTAAGTTTATCTTCCCAAAATGCTGCGCATATACCAATTATTATCATCATAATTCCCATGATGACATTAAAAATTAAACACTTAGAAAAAAGAATAATCTTCTCAATCGAATTGAAATAAATAAATTCTTACAATTCGATTTATATAAGAATAATTTCTACCTGTAAAACGTATACCATAAATATGTACAATAAGAATTACAATTGTTACAGTAAAACAAAATATAGCAAATGCTTGATAAGTTGATCGAACAAGTAATGTACTTAGTTCAGGATAAATCCATTGTAAATTATCAACTAATTCACAATATAAACGTGATGTAAATCCAATACTAATCAAAGCACCAATTAAACAAACCTAAAATCAATTCATATATTTCAATAGCAACGATAAGAAAATGAATTTAACATACTATTTCAGCAATATTAAGTTGACCTGTTGGTGTACTTAAATATCCGTAATCAAATGTTCCAGTCATTTATAATATCTAAATAAATTTGTATCTGTGAGTATTATGAAAAGATTCACTTACCTTCCAATTGATTGACAATCAAAAAGATAGGAGAAAAGTAAATGGAGAGATGCGTATATATATTATATATATATATATATATGAATAGAGAAAAATAATAATCACGATTAGCAATAGGTACGCTTCGTTATGTTCTCTTTTTTATATAAGCATATATGTATACGATCGATATTTCTTTTTCTCTCTTTGCGCAATATTTCACTATTTCTGTTTGATTCGTTCATGATGAGTGGTCAAGGATATTCTATTACATCGTTTTTATTACGCCTCAGGGCTCATTTTAGTAGGCCCGTTAGTAATAATAATAGTAATGCATAGACCGCCTGGGTGTGACACTAGTTCGTCTGTATATATATATGTACATATGAATCGCTCTTAGAGCATATAAAGTGGTATAGTTGTTGACGCGTGATGTATTTCTCGCTGTTTCGAAAGTGTTAATTTGAACACTTTGATACACTGTATATTAAAGACTAAAATAAAACGATCGTGAATAAAAATTCTTTTTTTGAATATTTCAATTATTATTAAGAAAATAATCATAGAATTAAATTTATAACTTCAATTAATGGTTAGTTGAAAGTAAAATGATAAACACGGTTTATTGTCCTGCAGAAAGTTAGTTTTAGTTATGGTGAAGAATGATTTTATGTCTACAGTAGTTTTTTTTATGACATGTTGTTGTAAAAGATCTCTTTGATACTATAAAATAAATTTTCGTACTACAAATTTGATAAAACTAACAAAGTTTTGCATAATTTATCAATATAAATTAACTGTGCAGAAAAAAAATATTTTATTTCTAGTAGCAGTTTAACGTTAATTTGTACTATAATATTATTTAATAAGCATAATTTGCATAAACAATTATAATTTGATCGAAAAACAAAATTTATTATAATAAATATTTTTATAATAGTTCCTATAATATATATTGTATATATTTAAGAAATTAATCATGCGAACACAATTGATTTGTTTAATAAAAAAAGATCAATCCAGTGAAATAGATTATTTCTTTTCTTGTATACGAAAAGACTAGTAAATTTTATCTAAAAAATATTATATTTCATTGATTATATCAAATAACAACAACACATCTTATCTAGTTTTTTCGAATATTCTCATAGATTAAAAAGAAAAATCAGCTGTATTTATTCGTAATTCGCTGTCATTTTTATCATATTTTATATTATTACATCTCTCAAATGTTCATTGAAGACTCTTATAAATGCATCCGTATGTATCACAATATGCATATGTATATGTTCATTGAGGGATCAAACAAATACAAATACATATGAACAGCGACAAGAATAGTTATATATATATATGATATAATCGAAATAAAATGAATTAAGTAAAAGAAAACAAGCGAACAGTTTGACTTAATAGACGTTCGAATATATATATATATATATATATACAATTTTAGTAGAAGAACGAACGTATTTACGAATAAAATGCGTAGATATTATCCATATGTTAGTTGAGTCTAAAATGAGTATCTTTATCGATTAAATATTACTCTTATACATCTCATGATATCGTAAAATGTCGTTGTATTTATGTCTCTTACTCTTTTTTCTTTTTTTTTCTCTTTCGTCTTATCAACAAATGGATAAAACAGGTGTTTGACTATCATCCAACGACAATAATGAAATTGATCTTCATGTATATACAAAACTTCTTTTTTTTTTCGTCTATGTATATGTGTATATGTAACAAATAGTTAAGAATACTCGATTGACGTCTTTTTTTTTCTTCTTTTTTTTCTTCTTTTTGAGTGATGAAAAAAAATGAAGTAGGGCGGTACACACATACATGGATGCAAAAAACCCTAAAGCTGAAATTGTATCGCATATATATTTATATATATATATGCATACATACTGTCATAAAGAAGCGACTGTGTTTTTTCGCGCAAATAGACTTTTAAATATATGCATCTAGCCGTGTTAACCTTCCCTCGAATAGAATAGTTTATATCCTTTTCTCTCATATACGAATAATAATTATTGAATTTTACTTCTTCTTCTTCTTTCCTTATCCGCCTCATCATTATTTATATAATTAAAAAGTTTATTTCGTTTTTTTTCTTCATTTCTTCATATTAGATATCATACTGTTATTTTATATCTAACACCTATAATTAACAATGATTGATAAAAGAAGTTATCATTATCATCATCATATACTCGTGATCAACCGATTGAAGGTTTGATACTTGTTTCAACCGATAATCATAAAGTAAGTTCGACATGATTTCTTTTTTTTCTCTTTCTATTCTGTTCGAAAGAAACGAACAAAAAAAAAAAGAAGGCTTTATTCATGCAAATATTTTAAAAATCAATCATGCGAATATTTATTTTATTTATTTTTTTTCATAAACAATTATATTTTTTCATTATTATTATCATATTTGATTTATTCTCTAATTCAACAATATTTTTGTTAGAACAAACGTATGAATTTAATCTTTTTGTTATACGATAAAATGAATGAACTTGTTAAAACACCAAACAGAAAGAGATAAAGGTCATGATAAAAACTCTCATTTGGAAGGTTATCGTTATTTGATATTCAATCTTCCTTTCATAGACAGTTGTTCATTAACAATGGTAAATGTCATCAATATACCTTTTTTTTTCTTCCTCTAAATGATCAAATTTAAATACTTAATCCAATCATTTTCAACTATTGACAAGACAACAGGTACAATAGAAAAAAAATTGAATATATGTTGCTTTGATTAAACTTGGAGGATATCTTTTATTAACATTTAACTATTTCAATTTTGATTTTAGAATATTTATTAATTGAAATAAAAAATGAATAAATCATATACATCGATACAACAACAACAACAGCAACAACAAAATATTGATGATGAACAAATTGAAAAAACATTAAATTTTTTCGATGCAATTCTTGATCCATACCTTCATGATGACGATGATAATGATGCAACAGATAAGAAATCTGATTATCATATTATATCCACAAATAATAGTACTACTCAACAAACAAAACATGATCACGATGTAAGTTTAAATCAATCAGTAGTCTTTTTTTTTCAATATAAAATCTGTTACGTTAAATGACCGTTATGCTTCACTTGTTTCCACCTTTTGACTCACGTTTTTTCGACCTACTACCTTAATTTTATATGTATTACCATTTAGTCATTGCATTTAAATTATTCTATTATATAGGGTGATACATTAACTCATACACATGTCTCAGCTTCGGCTTATTCTTCATCATCGAAACGTCCAACATATCTTCAATTTCGAAATATTCATCCTCGCTATAGCCAAATATCATCAGCTGTACCTACACATCATGTTCGTCGCTATACATCAGAAAATAATCTTAATCACATAGGTACGCCTTTAAAATCATCTACAGCTCTACAAAAATCTTCTCGGCCAGAACCACTTCAAACTACTACAGCATCAACAGAAGATCTATCAACAGTTCCATCATCACGAACAAATTTTTCATCACAAGCGCATCTTCCTACTCTAGCAGATAAAACTAATGGTGCAAGTGCTAGTTTAATTGATTTAACTGCTATCGATAAAATATCGAGACCACGTTTTCGTTTTATTCCACCATCGAGTACAAATAATATACTAAAAGAAGAATCTGAAACTGAACAACAACAACAACAACAACAACAACGAGGAAATCCAAAACTTGATCAATTTCAACCGAAACCTACACCATCAAATCAATTAAAACATTCTCATAAAATCTTTAAACCAACTGTTATTATTCCACCGAAACCAAAATCTGCACCAATTACTCGTTTAACTGAAACTAATATTCATCATCAAAATAGTAATAGTGCATTTAAACCACCTCGATCAAGTAAAAATCCTACTTCATCGAAACTTCAACAAGCAGCAGCATCATCATCAAATCTTAAACGAACTGATGCAGTACATAAATCAAATGTACATGTTGGTTTAACTAATTCAAATAATCAATTAATTAATAATGATTTTTTATTTCGTCAACAACAAATAATACCAAATTTTCATCAATCAATGTTAAATCTTTCTTCATCAGGAATACAAGAAACAAGAAATACGAATATGTTTGGACAACGTATAATATATCAACCATCATCATCTAATTTTATAAGATCACCACCTTATGTTCCACAATTAAATAAATTACACAGACATTATCAATGTCCTCCTCCTCCGGCTCATTTCGATGATTCAGTTTCTAGACGAATTCAACAAGTTAATCATAGTAGTAAAGTAAATGGACTAGTACATCCGTCATATCGTCAACCGTTTATTCATGGAGGAGGAAATCGATGTCAACCACAATCTTATCCATATAATCCTTATATTTCAACTGGTTCTGGTAGGTTTCAATAATTTTTCTCATATAATTCAACTATAAATATGAGCCTATACACTCATCAGCAACAATGACTAAAAGTTTCTAAACAAAAACAAAATAAGAGAAAATTGAGTAAAGATGGTTTTTGAAATTTAATTGTTTCTTAATCAGTGACCTTGAGATTAAGTACATGTTTACTTCTAAGACAAAACTTGTTCTTAACGAGCTTTACAATTGATATATTTGTCTTCTGACTTTTGAAATATATCAATTTTATTTTTAAGGTCTTTCATCACCAAGAAATAGTTATGATTATCTTCATCGTCAACAACCCTATTTAAATCCAGTAAAAGTACATAAACATCATACACCACAAAATCCAGCACCTGTTCAATCTGTTTATCTATCTTCACTACCTACATCAACACATGATATGTTTTCAATACCACCATCTAATATTTATCATTTCAATTCAAGTAATTCTTCCGGAGGTGAACAATCAAGACGTAATCCATATCACCAAAATTTTAATGTGACAACTTATCTTTAACGTTCTTTTGTAAACTCATTATATGTATAAGATTTTGTTATTGGTATGTTTTCGTTTGAAATATTTCTTATATTTATTGTATATTTTTATATTTCATTTTTTGTTTGCTATTTAATCAAAAGAACAAAAAATATATGTGCTGCATTGACAATCATACTTTCCACTAGATCTTATTCTTATGAACAAATCATTGAATATATAATTATATCATTATAGAGATCAATAACTGATAAAATAAAAAATTAGCAAGAGTTCTTTACAAATGAAAGTATTCTGATTTCATGAGGTGTGGGTATAGATGTACATGACTCACACCCGTATGTTTTTCGATATTAGAAAATTTTTGGTTTTCTCGTGGAACGAGAATATCATTTAATCTTTTGATATATTAACATAAGTATAAATATTCAAGGACAAAAAACAATATCAGAATAAGTAAATGCATTCATCCGCAGAGAGATACATTACGTTCGATTTGAAATGTTGTCTTGAAAAGCCTTCGTATAAAGGCTCATGCATGTATTCTTCATCGGTAATACGATACAAAACCTCGAGACACAAAATAATACATGATAAATTGATTTTAGCTCAAGACCAAGCTATGCATCGTTGCCCTCTTGTTACTTTTTTCTTTAAAAAAATCAAGAGAGCAAAACAAGCGCAAACCGGTTCTATAAAAGGTGCGATCAGATTCATGCATTTATTTCATTCATTCATTATATTATATTCTATTCAAAATGTCGGGACATGGTTTCAATAATTATGGTGATCCTAATGGTATGCGAGAACGTGCTTATGACAATTTCATCCATCAATATATGCCTGCAGTAGTAGATAGTAAGTTACCAACATATATGATCATCTAACTTGTTGATATATCATTTTGTATATTAATTAAGTAGTTAAAAATATCTCCATATTTTTCATCAGGTTCAGTGGGTGATCGATTGGATGATAGGTTAGGTAGTCATTGTCATCCAATGCAAGGATCAATAAATGGCGATGTTCCCGTGGTTGGTGGTGGACATCATCACCAGCAGCTACAGCAACATCACCATCATCACCATGGTGGTTCGTAAAATTGTGTCAACAATATAGCGACTATACATTTTTTTTTCTGTTATCATTTACTTGTAATGTGAATAATAAATTAGAACTTATCTTTGATTGCCTGAATTTTAATTCAGAGAAAAGTGTTTATTACTATATACTGACTATCCAAGGGGAGTAGGTGTAGATAAGATATTATACATACACTCACGCCCACAGTCTATCTTTTTAATTAGCATTTTAAATTTATGAAAAATGAGTGTTACTATGCAAATATTATTATACAATATCTTTCTTCTTACCTAGAATACTCTATCTATTCATTTAAAATAATCGAAAAAAACAAAAGATTTTCGAAAAACAGTTTTCATCTTTTAGATTTGATCAAATTTAGCCTCAAGATGTTCCAACTTGAGAGTTGAATCAAATATATCAAAAGAAGAAACAAAAGATTTTTCTTTTGCACTATGAGTGCTCATTGAGAGAAAAGAAAAGGCATGACAATATGTACCATCATCAAACTGTATTTTTTTTCGTTTTTTTTCTCATATGTGACCTGAGATGAACAATGGACAGACAATAGAGTGTGGGTGTGACGGTATATCGTGATCCTCTAACAATATTTTGTTCAAGTTTATTGCGTCTACGTACACATGTGACTTTGTCATACGTTCGAAATAACAACAGTGAGATATTATTATATTTTGTTAATAAATAATTTAACTCGAATATTACGACATTTTTTTCAATAAAATAATATTCTCAGTCAAATGTAAGTGAATGAAGTAATCCGTTTATTGTCAGAGAAATGATGACTACTTCTAATTTTATTCAGTTTCACAAACATAACTCAAACAGTCAGACAATTTGAAAAACATGACAATCTATTGATTGTTCTTCATTGTTGTTTCAATAGTGTAACTGTCGAATGCTTTTTTACTTTACTTTTTAAGTATGATCAAGACGCTTAAAATTAGAAATTATTTTGTTTTAATTTTATTTTATATAACAGCAATAACTTTATTGAGATTATCCTACCAATTATGATGATCAAATATATAATCAACAAGTTAATAATCACTCTCAAAAAAATAGTTATCAAATTATACGAATAAGTTTATCAATTTTTCATTCATTAATTAGATTATTGAAATGTTATGTTAGTTGAAAATATCAGAAATTCACGGAATTTTAAATCTATATTAATCGAAAACGAAAAACTACCAAATTTATTATTCCAAAATATTATTATCAACCTTCATACACTGAACAGTCAAATTAATTCAATTATTCTATATGACGAAGATGATAAAATTATTTATACTAGCCAATATACATGTAGTGAGATAAATTAGTTGAACTCTTTGTATATATCGTAAATCGTATATAAATGTTTATTTCTAAATCAATTAATCATTCAAAATGAATTAGATAGCAAAGATCCAGAATCTAATTATGACATACGTTTAACATTGACATTTATCATCCGGTATTGTATTTGAACATCTAGTAATATGTTATTTATTTCATGTCTTCGTCAAGCTTGTGGATTGAGAAAGAGAATATTGATATGAAAACTCTTTATTATATTCCATAGTTCGAATAACAACAAGTGAAATGTTATATATTGATATACTTATTGTATCTAAAATATTTGATACTCAGCTATCACATTTAATGTGTAGAAATGCACGTGATGAAGAATATCTTCTTGATTATGAATTGTGAGATCGAAATAGAATGGATAGAAAAGAATGGTTTAATTTTCCAGTTGGAACAATTTGTACGCTATTGAAATTAAAAAGAAACATGAGAAAAATAGATTGAGATGGATTTTTGATAATTATAAAAGTTGTATTTCATCTTATAACTATTTTTTCAATTAATAATTAATTTCTATATTGAATTTCTATCATCTTATTTTATTCTATAGAACCTATTGATCTCTAGTTACAATAAAACTTAGGTGGACAATCTGTCGTTAGAGTATTAAGAATATCTTATAAATATGTCTGATGAGTTGTTTTCCCCGAATGTGAATAACTATTATTTTTTTCTTTCTTCCTTTAAAATTTATTGATCAAAAACAAAGGTTCTCTTCTTTGATTTACATATTCCATTAAAACAAAGAAAAAAGAAAATTGGCGAAGCAACCTCTCCGAATAAAATATAAGGTACGATCGAGTGATTACCGCTATATAAGTGGTCACACAGACGATGCTATGAATACTAGTTCTTCGTATTCGCATCCTAATCCTCATCCACACCCACCAATCAACCACCTCATAAGCTAAACAGTGGCACTTTATTTTGTGTCAATTCAATACGTGAAAAGCCCTCTGTCGCTCTTTAATTCAACGGAGAGGACGTTGCATAACTTAGTCAGTTTGCATAGTACAGTGAAATGATGAGAGAAATTCGGTATTGATACACGTAGAAGTTTGTTGATTATTTAACATAACACAACAAATTAAACAGAAGTTAAAAAATAATTTCTTCATTGTTTTGCAATATTTTTATCTTCGACTTGAACGTCATTTAAAGTATTTCTTGCACAAATATGTCTCGGTCAGCTCTCTCATGTAGCATTAGTGGACTTCTCGCTATAAATTATATTATTAGATCACGTACTATATATCGGTTTGCCACTAAAACTAAAGCAACAAATATATTAATTTTACTGGTTACTGCGATGTTACTATTGGCATCATTTTTCTACCTTCTCTTTCTTCACACAAATAATTTCATCACTATGAAAAATCTATCACACATCACAAGTATAAACATACTTAAAACGAAAGAAGCAAAGCAAATAATACACTTCATTCTACCAACATAAAACGACACACAAAGCCATTGCAACAGTTTTGATCAATAGCGAATAAAATGCCTCTTACTATTCTTACATTACCGGTAGAAACTATCTACCGAATTTTGGATCATCAGAATGATCTGACAATGCTGTCTTCAATGCGAAATGTTTGTCAACGATTTGATACAATCGTTGATCGCTACTATCGATATAAGGTAAACCTTTTTTAATCATGATTGACTATCTTTCTTCTCTCTTCGAATCATTTCTAATTCTTACAGTCTTTAGATTTGAGAAGATATGATTGAATAAAATAATAATGAGACATATTGTCTCAACAAGTACTAATCTCCTCAACAAAAAACTCATTTTCATCACCAAAGCAGTATGAAAGAAAAGAGAATATACACATCGAAGCAATCTTTTTTTCATTCTTTTCTAAACAATCCACTGCTCTCATATTATTTTTACTCACTCACGGACAATATTTAAAAAAGAAAGGAAAGAAGAAATTGCTTGTGCATATACATCTACACTTTCATATACACACCTTTCATGTTAACAGAAACTGAAACTTTCACAGGAATTCCAGATGAAATAAATCAATCATTTATACTCTGGTGAATCTTGCATGCAGAAGTGATATAATATTGTATTATAGACTACTAGTCTTTTCACATCATATGAACACAGCTTATTATTTGATTTAATTAACTGCATATGTCAGAATGAATATATGTCATAACGCTTAAAGATTACACCTTCAAATCATAAACACTTATACAGCTACGAACAGCAGCACCGTTAACCCTCAAACTGGCTATTCAAGGAAATTCCAGAGATATCCATAGGATCAGAAAGTAGATGAGAGCGAGAAGTTGATGAGCACAGATTAATAAAACTTATAAGGAATGTAATGGGACCCCATAAGATCTCACCATCTGATGAAATCACATCAGATTCCTTCAGCTGGAACCTAGTTACTACAAATTTCAATAGTATTGTTTTTATCAGCACTAGATATGAGTTTTATAACAATATCCGATTCCGATAGGACATGAATCAGATACAGTAGAAATCGATCATCGGAATGATCCGCCTGGGAATGCAACAGACAACGCGAGCATCACTGCGGGATTGCAATAACCACTGATAGAAGCTTCTCCGATTTAACTAATTTAATTGAATACATTTGAAAATTGAAGAAGAAAAGGTGAATTTGTCAAGTAATATCATAAAACCAACTTCATTTGCAATGACAGGATTGATTCATTCTCTCCTATAATATCTTCCCGCAATATTTTCGTTCTTCGAGGTGGAGGTTTCTGAAAATAAAATAAATCACACTTTTCATCGTCATCCCTCTTCAGAAGACTTCACTAATAGGTCATAAAATAAAAGAATAACTCCTCCTGTCTCTTCATCTATTTTATGTATCCATCTGTACTTTTTCATATAGACACTTACCATATTAAATCTTTCTGATAATCAAATTGGACATATTCGAACACGCCATCTAGTAGATGGATTACGAACTAATATGGTAACTATCATTCTATTGCATATGTTGATCTGCACTCTCTAATGCAGACACTTACCGAATTAAATCTCGATTGTAACCAAATTGGAGATGTTGGAGCAAAGCATGTAGCACGTGGATTACGTAATAACAAGGTAACTATCATTCTCTTACTCGCCTATTTCATAAACTCACCTCTACTCCTTCTGACAGACACTTACTATATTAAGTCTCGCGCGCAACGAAATCGGAGATGTTGGAGCACAGCACATAGCAGATGGATTACGAAATAATACGGTAACTATCATTGT